AGTGTCCAGGTTTCTGCACCCACATCAGGCTCTTGCTCCAGAGGAGCCAGCATGCTTTTATTGCCTTACAGACCTAGACAGACACATATGCATATCATTAAAAAATAAGTCTGCCAAAGAAGAGAACCATTGAACTATCAAATCAACTTTGTTGATCTGAGTAGGATATTAAAAGCAACTGTGAGAGAAATTAGCTACTATCAGAAGTATGTGTCCTGCATGATATAATTTGTATGCATATCATATGCTTTCTATTTTATGAAATATTCATGTACAATATCTATAAGTGTTGTCATTATAAGCAGTAAGGATCAAATGACCCAGCAGAGTACCCTCCAGTCTCCATATACAGGCCATCGCATATGTATGTGCACACCCTACATGTACAGTAAGTAAGTATTTAATGTGATGAGATACACAAAAACCATGGGATCCCATGCCTTTAGGAATAGAGTTGATTAGCAGGCCTTGAGAAGACGACAAAGAAACATCATATATATCCATCTTACATTATTTATTTCAAAAGTGAAAGTGTCATTTTTAAGAATTAAATGTTGGATTGTTGGTATACTTTAGAGATCTACAGTCTATACTTTAAGGTTTGTTGTTTGAGCCTCAACAGTGGGACAGGTGAGCGTTCAGGAGATGAACCTTCATGAATAAATCACACCAAACAAGAGCATGGCCAGAATTAGAAGAGCTACCAAGTCTCTTACTAGTCTGCCAAGCTGAACGTGTGTCCATTTCTATAAATGGATCCCGAGCTACAACTTGAGCTCTGGATTTCTAGTTCCTGAGTCTGTAGAGAGGGTCAGCCCTAGGGCTTTGCAACTTCAGCAAAGATCTCTTGTTTATGGAGTAAAGTGAGGGACATGCAGGACAGGGCCAGAGACAACTGGCTCACTGGGAAGGTCTCTTATCTGATGACTTGTCTCTGAAAAGAGAAGCCTCTGTCCCTGAAAGGACTTTGGCTGAAGATGGACAGCTCTGTCCAGGGATACTGGGACAGCAGGGGAAATATGTGGAGTAACCTTTGCACAGAAACTTTTAGATCACTTGAAAGGCAATGGAGTGACTGTGTGTGAGTGAAAGTTCTAGAAAGTTCCACCTAACCAGCTCTGCCAAATCACAGTAGTTCTTTTCCTTTCTCCTCCCTTTCTCCTTCCCTTTTCTTCTTTCCCACCTCCCTCCCTTTCCTTCTCTTTACACAAATTAAAAGAGTTTTATACTAAACAAGTTAGGAAGTACTATATAATTTATTTTCGTGACAAATCATGCTATGTATTAGTATTAGAGGCTAGAATAGTCTTGTTTCTCTTTTCAAAACTAATCATTCACATCTCTGAGAATTTACTTTCTAAAAGCACTTTAGAAACAATGCTTCAAAGTCCAGACAGTTTTACCCATTTCTGTACTGGAAGGGAAAACTCACTCTGTTTACACTGGTAGTGAAACCAAGAGTCGATTACAAATAAGGACACATGACACTGGATGAACTCCCAACATAGCAGGTTACCTCTGAGGTCCCACCATCAAGAGTCTCTTGATGCTTTATGATCCTGTCGGAAACCCTCAGTTCTCCCATATGTACATATATGGTACACCTTTCCTCCCACTTAATTGTGCCATAAATAATTTCTTCTAATCTGTGGATTGATTATAAGGTAATGAATGCCAGTTCACATTATGTGAAACACAAATCATGCTTTAGACCCGTGAGATCATTTTCTTGGCCTAACTCCCAGACCCTGTGCTTGGGCTGAACTTCCATCATGCATCCAGGGTTAGTGAGTGTTCTGTTTCTAAGTGACAGCCTGTTTATTTTATGCCACATTTACAAGCTGTCATGTCCTCAGATGTACACGCATGCATCAGATTGAGATTTTTAAAAATGTTTTAAGTTTACTCTATTTTTGTTATTTCTCTTTATTAAAGTTTATCTTGGTGGATAGTTAATTTGTTCTTATCTCATCTTTCCAGAAAGTTTAGAGGTTACTCTTCCCCCTACAGAGTGTTGGCTATAAAAATAAATAACAGCAAAGAGTCAGAGTTGGCAAAGACAAATTCCCTCCTCTCCCATCTTTAACATACCTCAATGAAAATAGCACTGGCTTGCAGATGGAGTGAAGGAGGTACCTCCTTCATTGACTTTGCTCTGTTTTATGAAGCTTTAGTGGATTCCTTTTGGAGACAATTTCTTCAATCTTAAACTTTAGTGTGTCCATTCCACATTGTGAACTTGTTTGAGATTAGTGACAGGAATATCCCCACCTTAAAGCTATTCTCTTTGAACCTGACCAAGGTTTCATGCTGTGAAAGGGACCAAGAAGAAATGAGAAGAGTTGGAGAAGTAAACTCTGTGTGTAAAATATCATCAATCCCAGAGGTGGCAGTGTAGATGCCCAAGGGAAAGGTGGCTTTTCCATCTTTATTTTAGTCCTGAGATGTTCTGTGCATCAGATCAAAAATAAGAATCTATCCCAATATCAATGCCTAAATAACCTCCTACAGAAGGAAAAGGGGCAGTAAGAATCCTATTTTTAACACCAAACTTGAAATACTTTAAATTCAAAGTACAATGTGTTACAAACAAATTTAATGATTTCTTTACACCAGTGCTTTTCTTTAGATATCAAATGCCTTGAGCATTTTTTCCTGTGGACACAAAGGTATAAATTTAGGTAAAGAAAATCCTTATCTGAAATCCAATGAAATCTAAGTTGGTTGAAAACTTGAAGAATATGTTTTGAATGAGGACGTATTTTATCTCCTCTAAATCATATCTCTTTATAAGTTAGACTGTGAATATCAAAAATATTTCCAATTGCAAAGGTGGTCTAACTGTATGTGGCTTTGTGAGACTCACAGGTCTCAATATGGCATTTTGTTGGAAAAATGACTTCCATGCAGCTGTTCAATGAAGGACTTTCTCTCCAGACAAGCAAGATATGAGACAATATTACAAAATAACCTGAACTTCCAAAAATTCCAATATAATCATTCACCATAAGAATACTTTTGACTTTTGTTAAACTGAAGATACTTACATTAAACAGGAACTTGCAGATTTTCATTGTTAAGTTCAGTAACATCCCATGGTATTTTTTTTTCTTTTCCTTTAATCTTTTTACTGTCATTAAAACATGTACATAAAAACCTGTAATTACTTTACATCTTGCTTCACCCTCTTTACAGAGAGTTTTGTCTGTAGTTGTATTTTGTTCTTTTGACCTCACAATGCAAGTAGGGCTGGTATAAAGTGAGAACACACCTCTAGAGAAAGAATAATATTTTTCAATGCTGCATTTGTATTATTGTTCTTTGCTTAGTGAATTTTCAAGGTCCGTCTGAATTAACAATTTTTTGTACTTGATTTCTGTTCCTTGTGTGCCCCTTGCATTAACATATCATCTAGTTACTTGAGTAGTAATTTTCTACCTAATCCTTTTGTTCATGAATTCTAAATATAAATTTGCACTTCAGGTATCATACTTACATTATGAAGTCTTAGAATCCCTTACTGATCTTATGCTAGGCAATCATATATAAAATTATCTACATTAACTATATATTATTGGTGTACATTCATAAGAAGAACTTAGGAAGATTTCTGCTGTATTTTTGCCATTCTGAGGTGAGGTACAGAGAAAGTACTGATATACTCATAATTTATGGGTTACTTATGTTCACAAAGATAACTCAAAATTATAAGTAACTAAAAATGTACTTCCTTCTTCTGTACATTCTTTTCTGAAACATTTTAAAAATGTATTGCCTGAACTGAGTGCGCCTCTCTACTCTCCACCTAAGGTGTTACAAGGAAGTGGGAGATTACAGAAACTGTGGAGAAGAGGCAATCTGGTGACTATGTCATCGTATTGCAGATGTTACTATAGGTCTTAGTGCAACACATAGTAGGTTCAAAAATAGGAAATTAGAAATGTTCCTTCCCAGAAATGTGTCCTGTGAAATCAAACTGGTCATGGTTAGTTGCCTCTGCTGGAAATGAAAAACCCAATGACAGTATTTTGTAGCCGATGTTATACCTGTCAGCCTGACTCTCTTCTCCATATTCCCAGTATAACTCCCTTTTCTGGATTTTGTTGTTGTTGCTATTGTCATTGTTTTGGTTTTGTTGTTATTTTGTTTTGATTCTGTGTTGTGTTACATTTTTCTGAGAAGACTAGGAGAAAACACCTTCTCACCTTAGGTACAAAGGTGAGAGAAAGGGGAAGGGGTAGGATGAGTCCAGTAAAATATTGCCTGTTAAAATAATGAACTTAAATAGGCTTATTTTCAGGGAAGGATACAATTCATGAAAAGATAAGCCACTGAAAGGGGGAAAATCTTTATTTACCCATAGCAAAAATTAACTGTCTGTCTAACATTGGGGTGAGGTGGGGCTCCTGAACCCTTTTCTTTCTCCAGTGGTGGAAAGACAACGGCCACTGACCTGTGTGAGAGTCCTGTAGGTAGTCACAGCAGGTGACAGCTGAAGAGGGAAATGCCATGTATGCCCAGAGGATAGCTGTTCCATTACATGGTTTTGAAGAAAGACAGTGGGGTAGACCTGCTGGATTCAATTTTTCCATTTTAGCACACATCTAATTTTTTGTCTTAAAAGGTAGGTAAGTGACTAATTATGTTGTAAGTAATTAAACAGTAAATTATCTATGTTCACTGTGCAGCATCAATAAACTTCAAGTAAACATTGAAAGATATCTGTTTCTAAATGTCAGTCCTATAGTTTTTCTTTTATTGTTTATTGGAACAGTTGCTGACCTGAATGTCTTCCATCAGTCAGAATCAACTTAGTGTTTCTAAAAGACAGGTCAAGACAGTGCAGAGTTTCCTCCATCTTGTATTCTTGTTGAAGCCATTTTAGGCTTGACTAGAATTCTATCTCCTTGATAAGAAGCCTCGTTGAAAAATTGCCCAATTCTATTTAAGGACCAAAGGTCAAGACACCCAGATATGTTAGATTAACCTAGCTTCTGTAAACTGTCTGCTTGCACAAAGCACCCTGTGCCCTACAGGTACTGAGCAAAATGCCAGGACATAGCTTCTGCCTCCAGAAACCCCATTCTCTGAATATTCAGTGCTTTTGGTCCCCAAATACCTAACTGTAGCTCCAGCCAACTGGAATAAAGACTTATTTGGCTATACACTATGTCTAAAAGATGGGTTTGCTATAATATCTTGGAGACTCCAGTGAGATCCCTTGAGACAGGATCTTGGCATTTAGAAGACTCCGAACCCCCAGAAATGGGAACAAACAAAAAAGGTGGAGAGGATTTCTATGAGGTGTTCATCCTATGAGGCTTCAGGGCCCCAGGAAAATCTCTGAGTGATTGTTACTGCTCAGTTCTCTGAAGACACTTTAACACCACCATCCAAAGAAGAAGAAGAAGAAGAAGAAGAAGAAGAAGAAGAAGAAGAAGAAGATCATCAAAGTGATCCTGTCTGAATACCTCTAGAGGTAAGCTTGGTTTATAGGAGGTGCTATCTCGTAGGACACATGAAGGACTATTGGAAGTGATCATAGAACCCTTGTTTGAGATCTTTGTCAAACATCACTGGATTCTCTTGGTCTGTTTGAGTTTATGAATATGGGTGGCTACCCCTTGTTGTCTTTACTCTCTCTCTCTCTCTCTCTCTCTCTCTCTCTCTCTCTGTGTGTGTGTGTGTGTGTGTGTGTGTGTGTGTGTGTGTGTGTGTGATTCTGTCATTTCTGTTGCTTAGAGAAACAGATCTAAAATAGCAGAGGGAATGAGCTGTCCTGAGTCTTCAGCCACAGCTATGCACACAAAAAGCACAGGATTTTCCACAGACTCACAGACCATGACAGACTACTCAATCATGTTGTGGTGCCCCCTTCCAGGGGCAAATGTGGCTGTGCCATGGTGGATAGTTGCTTTCCTGAGGGTCCTGTGCCTCAGTGGTAGCTGCCAGTTTCCCTATAATTACCAATGGTTTTCTCTGGTGTAAAACACACACACACACACACACACACACACAGCTGCTTAAGTTCTGTGCCCTCTTGTTAGGGACCCAAATCATTTTTGCCCAGCTAAGTCACCCAGAGAAAACCCAAATTTCCATTTATTCTCTTAGCCCCACCAGAGGAAATCTTCCTCTCCTTTTCCTGATTCCAAGCACTCACTTCCGGCTGTTTAGTCACCTGACTACAGCCTGTGGTCCTGGTTCTATTCTCCGTGTGGAGGTGAGGAGGGCCTCAGAGTGCACAAAGAGAAAAGCTGCCTGCTCTCTGCTCCCCACTGCCTGCCTTAGCTAAGCAGCTGGCTGTGCCTGAGGAATGGGGAAGTAGTTACTCCAATAAAGCTCAGAGGTGTGTGTGTGTGAAAGGAGTAGAGAGAATATGGAAGTTCAGCTCCTCCCCTGTTTATACTTTATGCTTCTGTACCAATGATTCATATGATTGGAAGACCCAGTTTTGGAGAAGCCACAGGCCCTTATTAGCTTGTTTTAAGGCAAGAGGTCATTGGATGCTTTTTCCCAAGGTGGTGGTGGTGGGTTAAACAAACAAAAACATTATTGGAAGAATTAAAAGGACAGCCAGAAATCATACAAACTAACTTACGGTAAGTCAGGTCACTCAAGGACATGATGAATCACCCGCTGATTCACTTAAAATGCTCTGTGAGGCATATTGGATATTTATCCCCATAGAACCAATTGCCCCACACACCAGGAAATCACTAACATTACCCTTTATATGCAATCAGCCTCAGACATAGAAAGAACACTCCTCAAATTAGAGGAATTTGATAGGATAAGGGGGTATCAACTTTTAGAAATTGCTCAGAATGTTTACAGCAGCCAAGATTTGGTCAAAGACAGTTGGGGAAGGAAATTCTCCCATGTGGTGATCACTGCCCTTGGGGAAACAGACAAGAGAGGGAATGAGGGAGGCAGACCAAGAGAATGGGATCAGGAACTACTAGCATCATTTGATGGTACCCTGAGTGCAGATCTGCTGGAATTTAGACAAAAGTATACATAAAGTACCCTGCTTCTGTGTGTAGATGCTTCCCACCCCCATGACTCCAACCACTGAGAAGGAATAAAAACAGGCAATAGAAAGCTTTTTCTCAGAGCCCCTCTAAGCCCTGGGGTACAGAGGAGGTTAAGCCAAGAAAGCTCAATTGTGCATTTCTCAGGTCACAAGGCTAGGCTACAACATAAAGGAAGGAAAGTAGTTAGATCCCAGGACAGGATTTCTGCTATCCTGCAAGTCTATGCCCCACATCAAAAGAACAAGTGCAAGACTTCCTAAGACAGTTGGATGCTTCTGGCTGTGGGTCTCAGCTGGAACTGCTGAGATTGCCAGGCCCCTCTATGCCATCATTGGGGTGCACAACTTTTGGAATGGACTGAAACTGAGCAAAGAGCCTTCAAGGGATAGATAAAGATCCTGATGTCTGCCCTGGCCCTGGTTCTCCTACATATTACTAAGCTGTTCCATTTATATAAGGGTAAGACCAGAGACATTGCCTGTGGAATCTTCACATAAACTCTGGGACCCTGAAAAAGACCACTGGTATATCTGTCCAAAAGGTTTAAACCAGTCACAGCTGGATAGTCAGTGTGTATAAGGACATAGCTCCCACACCCTGCTGGTAAAAGAAGCTAACAAATAAACAAACTGGTCCTGGCTTTCCCACACTCTTTTGAGGCACTCTTGAGGGGGTGAACCAATACCAAGCAAGCCCTATTAACATACCATGGAATATCAATCCTGCCAGTATGCTACCAGAAGAAGACGACCCCATGGGTCCCTTGCATAACTCTCTTGAGGTGACTAACCTGATCCAGTCTATTAGGCCTGTATTGACTAAAGTCCCACTGATGACACCAGTATTGTTCACTGATGAGAACCATTTCATCCAAGACAGAGTCAGATATGCAAAGGCAGTTGCAGTGGTTCAGGATAAGACTATCTGGGCATGATCTTAATTGGGTATCTCAGATCAATATGTAAAGTTTTCACCTTTCACCCAAACAGTCCATTGGGGGAATCACCATATATATGATTTGTCCATGGCTCATGTCTTTGAGGCTTTCTATATAGGAAGAGGATTGCTTACTTCAGCAGAAAAATATCGAGAGAGAGAGAGAGAGAGAGAGAGAGAGAGAGAGAGAGAGAGAGAGGGAGGGAGGGAGGGAGGAAGGGAGAGAGAGATTGGAAGCTAACTGGTTATCCAAGAGGGTGTCCACCAGAAAAGACACCAGAAAGAGGATTCCCCACAAGCAGCTGACTTGACCACAGGAGAAATGGTCCTAAAACCTGTGTGGCCCTACTGAACCCAGCTTAAAGAACTTCCCAGGGATAGATTGACTGTGTTAAATAAGAAATGACTAAACAGGATATACAGGGATGGTAGATGCTACTAGACAACAGACCTCCAAGTTATGGAAGACTACTGGTTACAGATCTCCATCAAGCCACCACTGAGGGACCACAGAAACTACTGAACTTCTCTAACCAGATATTATGTTCCAAATTTGGAAAGTCTGATTAAAGACACCAGTTTTAGATGTGGCACTTGAGTTCAGGCAATACCCAAAGTGGGAAGAAAGATTCCACAAAAGATCCAGGCTTAAATAATTGGGTTGGGGAACACTGGGAGTTGGACTTTATTGAAATCAGGCTTACTATATATATAGTATATAAATTTTTCACTGTAAATATTGACTGGTGTTTGTAGATACAATCTCAGAATGGGTGGAGACCAATCCCTCCCCCAGAATAGAGACTGTTATAATAATAACTAAGAAACTTCCTCAGGAAAAGTTTGGACTGTCCTATATTTGGAATCCAACAATGCTGGGGCCTTCACAACCAAAGTGTCTTAAAATCTGACAGAGCTATTACATATTAATAGAAAATCACATTGTGTCTAGAGGCCACAATGTCTAGAGAGCTCAGGTCAGATAGGAAGCATAAAGAAAAACAAATTGGTTCTGGAAACTGGTGAAAGTTTGGGCCAATCTCCTCCCCTTTACACTGCTTAGGGACCAATCAGTGTACTTGTTTCCAGGAAGGGGTTACTCCTTTTGAAATTGTTTGGGAGACCACCTCCCATCCTTCCCAAACTTTGAGATTTTCCAGGTAGAAATGTCTAATCACTTCCTTCTCTAGTTCTTACAGGTTTTTCAGGAAACTTGGCAGGACATTGACTGGACTGTGAAGAGAATCATGCCAACGTCCACCTCACCTGCCTACCAGTTTCAGCCTGGAAACTTGGCTTGGATAAAGCAGATCCTTCCCTGGACCTTGGAACCTGTCTGGAAGAGATCCAACCTAGTTAACATACCACCTAAACTGCTGTCAAAGTCACTGGTATCATCTCTTGAAAAACAAAAAGCAAAAAGACCACCAAGAATGATGACATATGGACCATTATTTGGACTTTAGACTGTGAGTATAAAATTTTAATCCAGAATTAGCTTGTTTGCTTTTTTTAAAATTTTTAATTAAACCATCAGTGTCTTGCCAAAGCTTTTAGACAGATGGGCAAACCTATAACTACAGGGTACCATCATTTGGACCGATATTATCTTAGTTAGTTCATATCTAAAGGGACACCATGATCAAGGCTACTTTTATAAAAGGAAACTTTTAAATGGGGCTAGCTTATACGTTCAGAGATTTAGTCCATTATCATCATGGTGGGAAGGATGGTGGTGTATAGGCAGATATTGTGCTGGATAAAGAGCCAAGATTCCTATATCTGGATCCATAGGTAGATGGAAAAGAAAGTGAGCCATTAGGCCTGGCTTGAGCTTCTGAGACCTCAAAGCCCTCCCCTAGTGACTTTCCCCAACAAGGCCACACCACTTAATAGTGCTACTCCCTATGAGCCAATAGGGGCCATTTGCATTCAAACCACCACAGACCTCATAGAGATAAGACTGAGCAGAGGTTACTAAGATAAACAATTCCCATCAGTCCCAAACCTGGACATGAGAATTCAGAAAAAACAGGGATAGAAAACTCTATCTTTCTTGTGTGGATCTTTGCTCTCTTAAGTCCCTTCCAGGGATGGAATAATGTGGGTCTAGGGGAAGAACGATTGTTAGTAAATCAGGTTCTGGAGAAGACTGGCTAGATAAAGGACTTCAGGGATTATAGCTAAGGACAAGGTAGCTGCATCATGTCATCAAATACCTAGCTTTTTCATGCTAAAGGTTGGACTAAATGGTCCTCCTCTGATTTACTGGATACTCAAATCCCCACTGTATGTGTAATAGTTATGTTATTCTTCAGGTGTATACCTATAATGGAGAAGGGGAAAAACTTATATTGGCCTTGACTCAAAGTTAACAATGGCGAAATGGGCTCAGTTCCTGTCCCAATTCTAGTAGGGGTAAGAATAGCCTATGCAACTGCCATAGGCACCTCAGCCTTAAATATTGGAAACAAAAACTTTAGTAAACTTAGTTCCCAGATAGACCTATGTTATTTGGGGAATTTTATTTATAGCCTGAAAAGCCAAGTTGACCTCCTCACAGAGAGAATTGACTCCTACAGAATTAAAGCAGGCAAGACTTCCATTTTATGAAACAGAAGTTTTCCATGGTCTTAGGAGAAACTTACTGTTTTTATGCTGTGTTGCTTTGCATATGCTTGGCCCAAGAAGTGGCAATATTAGGAGGTGTGGTCTTGTTTGATTAGATGTGGCTCTGTTGGAGGAAGTGTGTCATTGTGGGGGTGGGCATTGAAATCCTCCACCTACCTGCCTGAAGACAGTCTGTTCTTGGATTCCTTTAGATAAAGATGTAGAACTCTCAGCTCCTCCAGTGCCTTGCCTGCCTAGATGCAACCATGCTTCCTTCCATGATCATGACAGACTAAACCTCAGAATTTGTAAGCTAGTCTCAACCAAATGTTGTCCTTTATAAGAGTCCTGATGTCTCTTTACAGCAATAAAACCCAAACCAAGACATATATGCCAACCAACCAGTGGTAATTATGGAAAACCTTGCATTTTCAGAGAAAAATTTTCAGAGAAAAGAAAGGGAAGAAAGTAGACATAAGTATTATATCAGTGTTTACTTGATGTGTGTGAATGAACATCTTACTGTCAGCATAAGTTGGATTGTTGATTCTTATCCTAGTAGAGCTAATGATAGGATCCTGCATCTTCAATTGCATGGTCAACTACCTCAAACAAAATAAACTCAGTTAAGCTAGTGGTCCTTAGGTCTAGGCCTCCCTAGACCAGGGTGAGTAAATGATTTGACTCACGACTATAGAATCAATGGGGAATATGATGGGCTACACAGTGCAGAGGTTTTAAGCTTTGACTAGAATTTGATCTCCCTGATGAAAAGCCTTTAGAAAATTACTCAACTCTATTTTAGGAGCCCAAGGTCAAGATGCCCAGCTAACTTGTCCTAACTTGTGTGAACTGCCTGCTTGTGCAGGGCAAGCAGCTAACTCCTTATCATAACTTCTGTAAAGTGCCTCCCTGTGGAGACTCACCCCCTAGCACCATAACCACCACCACCACCTCCACCACCACCACCACCACCCCCCCATAGTTCATCGCTGCCCCAACACCCACACATCCATACACCCGTACACATCACACCCTTATATATCCCATCCCTGTTACAGTGAACCACCCCCTAGTACCACCACCATCACCCATATTCCACCTTCTACCCCACCCCTGTTATACCTTACTAATAAGGTTGTAGTCTACCAGCTTTCCTGAGTTTTGCATAAAATGGAGGACTTCCTCTTCTTAGAGGGTCTTCCTCTTCTCCTCCTGTGGTATGTCACTTGATCCCTGGAGAAATTATACTTTCAACTTGCTGGAATGACTCTCTATGCAAATGATGTATCCCCTATACCTTAAGCCTCAGCCAATGAAACCTCACCCTAAGAAAAACCCCATATATATATATATATATATGTGTGTGTGTGTGTGTGTGTGTGTGTGTGTGTGTGTATGTGTGTGTGTGTGTGTGTTTCACCTACTAAAGTGTATGTGTACAAGCCCACCCTAAATAAGAGTATTGCATAAACTGGATTGTCTCAGAGAACACTTTCATTGACAATCATCCCCACCAGATCCCACCCCAAATGTATTACCAACCAGACAAGGACTCTTCAGAGACCATCCATCCCCAACTTCACCTCATCCTTTCACATCCTTTCATCACACACAGAACCACAGCCAGACCCAAACACACATACCATATACTCCCAGCTTCAACCAGCCAACTTAATATCTTAGCATCTATAAAACTGCCTGCTTGTGGAGATATCCCTACACACACACACACACACACACACACACACACACACACATTGCTATTGAACAAGATGCTAACATGTGGATTTTCCCTCAAAATCCCCAAAATCTCTGGACCCTCAGTGCCACATGTGAGTTCCTGGGTACCTGAGTGTAGTGCCAGATTGCCAGGATAAAGACTTTCAATTGGCTGTAAACTCTGTCTGAGTTCTCATCTCTGATGGGCTCCCTGTAACATCCTTGATACATAGGATCCTTATTTCTTAATTTTAAAAAGTATCTTTTAAAATGACAAGAATAATGTAGAATTCAAAACATAATTAAGAAATAGGTCACAATCATACTTATCCTAATAATCTATACCTTTAAAGTTCACACTGAAAAAATAAAGGATGTCAAAGTGACATGCATCAGGTAAACTGTAACTAACACAGTAAAAGACTCCTAGACACTTATCCAGTCAAGTTCTATCCATTGCTCCTGACTTCTTAGAATTGTTTCAACCTCTCTTAAAGGTGTTTTCCAACATTCTGAAATGGATATCTAAAATCCATCTCATCAACTATGTTCTGACTCATCCATGAACTACCTACTAGTTAAAGTGAGATGAAATAATACACTCATACATTTCTGTAAAGTAGAGACACATAGTTGGTGCATAGGAAAACCCTGATGCTAGATGGATCATAGATAGCACATCCTAAAGAAAGGTGTTCCAGTTTAGCAAATATCAAGTCCATTTCATCTCTCTTTCATGCTCTCCTCCCTTTATGCTGATACAATCATGGCAGATGTCCCTTTGTCCTTCCTGGATCTTTGATATAATCCCACCAGCAATGAGTTCCTGGATGTTCTAGCTGAAAGATGATTCAGAACTAAACCAGAGATACATGAAGCAAAAGAATCTCCTTCTTTCTGTAACTTGAAAATTTCAAAATATAAACTGGACCAGGAAGAATATTTTTAATATGATCTAATTATAAATATATCTGCATGACATGATCTAATTTATTAGAAAAGTAATTTTATTCACTATTTTTTCTTTTTAATGTAGAAGCAAATAGAATCTCCATTATGTTGCCATAATACAATAAATATAATTTTCCAAGCAGGAAACCATAGCAACAGTTTTTAATAATAGAATATGATTGGCTGCATATGAAAAATAAAACTGCATTCTAAATAATTAAACTGTTTCTCAATATAAAATAATAATATCTCAAGCATTTTTATGTTTTTATGTGTACAATGTGATACACTGTTTCAGTCTGTAGGGAAATGTATAATTACCAGAGCATCTTTTCATAGCCTACATTCTTTTTGTCACTAATCCACGAATTAAAATAATAATTCAAAGAAAATAACCTGTCTAGAAAAAAAATGAAATCTGAAAATTAGGTCTTTTGGAATGATTCTCTATGTCAGCCTATAGAATTGAACATATTTTCTTTGTTTTTGTTAATGGAGGAAGAGTTTCAAAATATTTCTTAAAAGCGTTCATTTTGAGAATACTGGTTTAAATCAGATGTATGTCAATTTCTCATGTTCCTATGTGCATTCATATGAACCAGGAGAGCAAACAGATGGGTAAATCTTTCCAGTGATACAATGTATGCCAGTGCAGAGGAATGTGATGAAAGAGTGCGTTGTGATTCAAGCCTCCAGATGTCTACCTTCCCGGTGGGCATTTGGCACCACTCTAGTATAACATCTGCATGGCTGAAATCTCTCTCTTCTTTACTGAATTCTTGCAGGACATTCCAAAATCTTGGTGGAATCAGATTACCAAATTCCAAGATAGAATTCAAACATATTCTTTCATCATGCTTTCCAAATGCCTTGTGGAAGAAGGTTAAGAACTACATAAATAGACAAGTGACTGGGCACCAGTAAACACTTGAATAATTCATGCACGTGAAAGGTTTGGGAAGTGGTATTCACACATATGGTCCTCTAAGTGCAAAAGGCTTTCTTATATCCAAATATAGTAAGAGCACCAGAATGAGCAAATTGTGTTTTACTTTCCCCAAAGTCAACAGGATGTTACTTACCCTGCCAAATTTAAATAGTTTCAGTTCATTACTTGGTGGTAAAGTTAGAAATGGTAGTAGTGAATTTGCCCTGGAATTCTCAAGCCTACATCAGCTAGTCAGTCAGAAGCCATACACCTCTATTCCATGCCGTGAGTATGACATATTTGAGATGCTGTTGGAATGTGTTTCTCGTATCTATGTCTGCTGTAAATAAATATTTATGTGGAGCTAAGGCATGCATTCACATGCTTCTCAGATTGTTGTGATATGCCTTGTGTTTCAGCCTGGTTTTTGTCATATTGCGGGGCACTTTGCTTTCATTAGGCCACCAAACTGCCCAGATAAAGGAGTCTTCCTGACAGTACTACAAGAGCCTTTTATGTATAAAACAAAATTTTACTTTGTGGAGAGTTCCTTTTAATACTTTAGTTATGCAGATCACTTTCTATATTGTGTTTTTTATCAAATGAGCTATGTCCAAGCAATTACAGACTACTTTATGTGGCTTATTTCACATCTCTTACAAATTTGAATTTGCTACATAGAAAAATAATGGTGTGATTAAAATAATGAAGAAGAAGCTATCAAAAGTGGATCCATGCTTCCAAGATTACCATAAAGGCAGCAGATGTCCCAGACCTACTCTGCCAGCGGATACCTGACATTAAGGTCTGAACTCCATCAAAAGTTGTATTGTATATGCATGTGAGTGGAGATGACAGAGGAGACAGTGATTTAGAATCTATGCTATACTGCTCATTTCCATTTTAATTATAAAAACAAGACAAAAGTACAACAAATCAATAATTTCTGTCCACTTTAAGAAAACATCCAAATTCATACTGTGGAATTCAATGATTTTTAAAATCTTAGCACTATGTTGTAAAAGTATTTGTTTACAATCAATTTAATCTCAACCCTTTTACAATATATTTTTTAAAAATATTAATACTTAAATTACTCTCTTTACAGCAAATGGAAACTATCACAGAAAAGTGGAACTGGATGAAACACAGAGAACGAGAATTGTAAAAAGTCTAGTTGCAACAGCTACATCTCCATCAGAGTTCCTGCATCCATGGCTCAGGAGCATCGTGAGATAGGGGCAGAAGGACTGAAGAAAGTCCAGGAAGTCAAACAGGAACCAGTCTCTCCTAGAAATGGTCATGCAAACAAAATGGGAATAATAGTGATATTGGTACACATATTAATGAGGAAGGGGAAATTTCTCACAGGGTCCTACCCCTAGGCAAAACAAAACAGAATAAAACAAACAAAAAAACAAACGAAAAAAAAACAGAACTATAGACAACTTATGACTTCTGGGAGAAGAATTAGCCTCTTTTGGCAAAAAGTCTCCTTATCAGTTGTCCAGTGCAGAGTGGTTAACTCTAAAACCATATATACACAAACAATAAAAGTGGACTCAGTAGTCTGTATCTACAAATTTGTACACACACACACACACACACACACACATCAATAATAATAATGATATAAGAGCCTATCAACTTTTGAATGGGACTAACAGAGAAGAGCTTGAAGGGAGGGGCCTTGGAAGAGCTAAAGGAGGAAATAGAGGGGGAATGGATGTAATTCTAGCTCAATTTAAAACATTTAAAACCTGCCCCTAGAGGCACTGCAAGTGACATGTGAGTCAGTAGGTGGCAGAGAGGATCAAGGTTATGTCCATGTTCCGTGTTCTGACCTATGAACATATGAATGATTAGGAACCTAACATTCCCTGAAAAGGGGGAATCTGAGATGATGACCAATCCTGTGCCACACAGGCTCTGACATGCTCCAAGGACAGAAAGCAAGCCAGAGACTAGAAGAATCCTGCCTAGGACTAAGAGCTCTGGGTGAGAGCAAGTACAAGACAGATGACTCTTACATAGGGACATTCAGGCAGACCAGGTGAGAAGTGAGCCCAAGTTGACCTCCTGTCTGAGTGGCATGGGCAGGAAGATATCCTGAGATGACCACCAGTAGGGCACCATGCAGGCCTGAGGATGGGAGTGGGGGTAGGGGGAGCATACCATGCCTGAGATGACCCTGCTGGGTACCATAATACACAAGCAAGTCATAGCAATCCTGAGATCATTCCTGAGATGACCCTAGACACTCAGAGACCCTGAGTGACACTAAGAAAAAGTATGTGGTGGAAAAATGGAAGAGAAAGAAACAGAAAAAAAGTAGACACAATGAAGAGAGACAGAACTGGAGACTTGAGGGCAGTGAGGAACAGCCTGATGTGAATAGTAATGCCACCTGGAACCATGGTGGGTTCCTGGATAGCTCGGTCCATGGCTCTGCAGCAGCAGGGTCTGTAACCACCAAAGGCCAAGATGATATCCCTGGTCTGGTCCCTGGTCTGAGCTTTTATCTGGGACTTACTGATATCTTGAGGGCTGTGCAGAAGTGGCCCTACCTCTCACATGAGCATTGTAGAAAATCTGGCCCTGGGGGCATGAGAACAGGAGAGCTGACACTACCCCTAGCGTGCTGCAGTACTCAAGAGAGCTGCCTCCACATTCGAGGAGTTGCAGGTGGACTGCTCCTTTTCCGGGATATGAGCATGGGAGACCCAACCCTATTCATCTCTTATGCAGTGGCATGGACAAGAAAGAGATGCTCTCCTCTCTCCTCAGTCCTCACCACCTGGAGCAGGCAGAATATCTGGTCCTGTTGTCATGAAAGCATGAAGCTGGCCCTGCTCGCTTGCTGCAACAGCATGGTAGAGCTGACCTTGTTGGTAGGGGCATGAGTGACCTAGCCCTTAGGGCCTGGAAGAACTTGCACTGCTGTGAGGTGACAAGGCTGAAGGAGAGATGAGTTCCCTCACCTACACATACCTTGTCACCAATGGCAGATAGGAGAGCTAGCCCTGAGGTCTTGAGAGCAGGAGAGCTAACCAGCTTCTCAACTGCTGCAGCACATTGGAGAGTAGGCCCCGCACCTCTCCTGGGCAGCAGAGTACAATTGGCCATGGTAACAGGGGTGGCTGGGGAGCCAGCCCCAGAGGGCATGAAAGTGGGAGAGCCAGCAGGCTGACTAGGTCAGATACCTCTCAGGTCCAGATCCAGGGCTTTGAATTGGCCAACTCCAACATCTACCCCATCAGTAAACTAACTGCTGAAGTACATAAAGGGGCCTGTCCAGTCCTACGGATCCATGGAGTAAGATAACACAGGACATTGGTATGCTTTCACCAAAGGTATAAAAATGTCAAGTTTATACTGTATTGTCTCTTTTAAAAGTGAAGAAAATATACTGCAATTGCTTAAAATCACTGAAACATTTAACAGAATAGTTAGATAACTGTTCTAGGAGTATAATAATTTCACATAATTTCAAAGGTATCCACAATATTCAAAGAGTACAGTTATGTTGTAAAATGCTCATGATAAAAATAAAACTTATTTTTGTAAATGTGTAAATTTTAAGTTGTCAACATACATGAGGATGCATATTTCAAGTAACTGTGAATGTAATCTAATTGTTATTTCCTCTTAAAAGGGATACTAACATGAATATATTTAATTTTTTCTCTTTTTATATATGAATTTCTTGTACATATGAAAATTTTCTCAGAACCTATACTTTAAAGCAGTACACCAAAAGAATGTTTTGAAACACTCTGAGGGGGGTAAAATTTCTCCCCTGGTCAGATGTTTTCAATTATTATAGCTAAAATGATTAGAGCTGGGTCCCATGACACTATTACTTGCTTCTTCAGATTTATTGAAAATTAGTAATTCCATTTATAGCCACAAGATTTCATGGATTTCACTGCTATAGACAGAAAAAAATTGATGGATTTAAGAGCCTACTGAATCTAGTTGCATTGACTAATACAGCACTAGAGAAAATTTAGAGGTTGTACTCCTGAAGTAGTTAACCTTTGGATAAAGAAACATTTTTAAAGAAGAATGTGAGAAATATTGAATCCATAAATTGTTACTGGTACAAAGTAGGAAGGTAGAGAGGGACAGAAAGAAGGGGTAGAGAGAGAGGGAAAAGGCAATTCAGAGCATCACATAAAGAAGGAGTAGACACCCTAGGAGCAATGGGCTTGAAAGCTCTCAAAGGTGGCATTTGATTAAGTTGGTGAGGAGAGTGTCTCAAGAGACTATAGGATAGTCAGGCTTAATATATAAATTTAAGGGACAAATGTTTCTCTTTTTTTTCCTTTAGATAGTGTGATTGGAGAAATGGAAATAATTAGAGGATAACCAAAGCAAAATGAACAACTACATTTCATTTATCCATATCTTGTTAATCTGACAGCTGAAATACCTATGAAAAATCTGGATTAACAGTTTTAACCATTTCTAATTAGTATTATGAAATCAGATGCAAATGTAAAATTTAAGCATGGTGACTCTAGCTCCCACAGATGCACTGTATATGAAGTTTAACTGGAGTTTCTGACAAGATTTATGCAGCACTTCTAGCCCTTACAAAATTCTTTTAAAACTGATACAGAAAGTTGACAAATGGCAGCATGTAAAAAAAAAAAAATTAGGAATGGAATCTCTAGTCCATAAATACTTTTTTTGAAGCAAAGTCCACAGGATTTCTTTTTTCTTCATTAAAATTCGCAACATGACAGCCAATTTCTGTTTTCTTAGCCACAGAGGAAAATTGTTTGTTGAGGTCCTTATGTATGAGCTCATTGCCTTTCCTCAGTCTAAATACTAAGTGACAGCCTCATATTGAGCAATTTTAAACCAGGGCTTCGATTTGCAGCAGACATGTTGAAATTTGTGATAAATGAAATAGATATTTAATGGCACCTAATGCGCAGTGAAACAGCATAATAGAGGTGGTTTGGCTTAGAAAGGGCTTGCAAGCATTATGCCACCAGAGCTGAGCAGCTGAAGCTTAGCATAATTCGGTAACATATTCAGCAAGAGGAAGATTTCATAACAGAAAGATCAAGAAAATAATACATTCACTTGAGAATGTGAAAATTACCTTGGAATTTACTTTGCTATTTGTGTTGCATTTTGAGCATGAAAATGTGTTCTTGAGCTTGATTTTATTATTCCTTATGTTTATTGAAGAATTTCATACTTCAAAAGCACAAACACATATGTATTTCTAAGTGAGAATCATTCTGAATTTTAAAGATCATACGCAATCACTGTAAGTAAATATCAAAATATTATTCAGTTTATGATGGAGCACTGTGTATGAATATCCTCATTACAAAATACTCTTCATTGTACATACCTTGATAGGACTTTATTCTCTCCTTTTGAAATAATACAGAAAGTACAAGAAGCAATAAATAGAATACAAACTACTAATGACTATATTAATCACCAGTAGCCATGGTTACTATCTTGGCATGTTTCCTTGCAGTCCTTTATTTATGTGCATGCAACTTGTAATCTGACAAGTAAAGTTTTAAGATCTTTTGCAAACCCTAGCATGAGTTTATAGTAACTTCTATTATCCTTATTCATTTGATATTCATCTACAAGGATGACTCTTGTAGAGAGTAAAATACTAGTGAAATAACGGGGAGGAAACAGACATGGGCCCTACATGAAAAAACAGCTAGTTGTGTGTTTAGAAACACAATAAGGAGTCTTGCAAGAAGCAGAATACATAGAATGTTAAATACAGAGAAATGTTAAACAAGTTAAATGTTAAACACAAAGAAACATAGCATCATATAAATAACTCAATAGAAAAATGTTCAGATCTTAAAAATAATTAGGAATAGATATATTTGTTGAGAATATGATTCATACTCTAGTAAATTAGGATTTAAAATCCTGAGAATAAGCAAATCAATCTGTCATGGGACTAAGGAAAGGCAAGGTTTTCCTCTATTTTTCCTTTTTCACTTTCTCTTCTTTTAAACAAAGCATGGATGACAAACAAGCACGCTTGACAGTGGATCCAGGGGAGAGAGGCAGTCACCTACTTGGCAACCCTCTCCGTGGCTTCTTATTTATTCAGCCTCCCAAACATAATCTATCTGAATTTTACCATAGAATATCAGAAAACAATTCTTTACTACAGATAAGTCTCTTGTGAGAACATTTGGATACACTTAGGCCCTAGTTCAGATACTTCAGAACAAAAGAGGATGAAATGGGAAAGTGTGAAACACTGAGGAATGATTCAGAGAGTCACTCCGAGTAAATCACAGCCCAGTTCTCAAACACCATGGAGCCATGAATACAGAGACACACAAAGCCACACACAGTGGCCACATCAAAGGCAACTTGATACTTGAGGGATAAACACAGTGACTGTAGCTGAATGTGTTTGCATTTATATTAATTAACACCCTACTGTCATAAAATACATCTCTCATATCATCACTTTGGCAGGTGTTTTTAATTGGCTATATAATAATAGCTTTTATGGGTACATTTTATTCCTTGTTTCTATGTCTATTTTGTATATTTT